GGGGGGGGAATATGATTTTAGAATGTTTTATAATAAAAAATGTCACTGTATTTTCCATTCAGAACAAACAAACGTTGGCGGTACACGGCATAAACAAATCCCTCCCCCCCCCGTGGTCCAGGCATTTACATTAAAAACATGGCATGGAATAAGTTAAATAATAATAATCACAAAATAGAAAATTAGGTATATCGGCAATGGAAAAGAAAAAGTGTGCAATTCTTGGTAAACATTCAAATTAAAGAGTCTGTCGGCTTTTATGTGTGTCCAGAATTTTATAATTTTTTAAATCTTTAATATATTTTTATCAAGTTTCATAAAACGCTAGATCCTAAAATTCCCATAATGCAACATTTAAAAAATATGTATATGCAAGTTAATTTGAAAAGTTTGCTCCAGTGAAATTTCAACAAGGGATGTACCGAATAATCAGAATTTGAATGAAGCGCACTGAAAATCTGGTTCTTTTTTGGAGCTGATGTCACAAAATTAGACAAAATACAGCTTCAAATAAAATAAATGTGTTATTGTATTGATATTGTGACGAGTTCTCACCCAGAGTGTGGGGCTGGTAGGTGTGGGAGGGGGCCGGTCCAGACGTCCCGCCCTGAGACACGGAGCTCTGCTGAGAGTCGCCCCCCGTCCCGTTCCCACTCCCGCAGGACATCCCCCCCGCATCCGAGTCCTCGATGTTCCCTCCGCTGTTACAGCCGGCACCGCAGCCTTTACGTAACCTACGAAACATTTCATTAAAGAGGCAGGAATGAGTCAGCATTTTAGGACTTAATAAGGTCTGTGGTTCACACATGCTGAAGGGATTTACATTCTCCGATAGGAGAGGAAGGAGACATTAACAGAGTGTGAAAACTTTATTTTACTACATGTTTTTACTGACACCACATGTGACTTACTGCCGTGCAGAGAGAGACCAACCTGTGCCAGGTGCTCACAACAAAGTTCCTGATGTTCCCGATGCTGATGGGCCCCCCCAGGATGTGTCCCAGCTGGGGGTGAGTGTTGCAGTAGGAGGTGGTGAGGGGCGACACGTAGATGGGGTATCCGATGGGCTGGTCGCAGGACGAGTTGATCATGTTCCTCAGAGCCTGCTTGGCGTTCTGGATGCTGCCGCGCTCAGGGTTCCTGTTCCTGAGAAACACCAGCTCCTGCTGCTGCCCCGCCCACAGCCCGCGCACACACTCCTTATTCACCTGGGGGGACACACACACACACACTTTACTGTGAGTGTGTCTCACTGCAGAGGACACGTTACAGTAAAATGCTTCAATCTGGTGCACTTTGAGCACACACTTACTAGAGACCTGATCTAGGGGGCACAACTCTAAAACGCCCATATGAAAAAGATCGGTTTACATTTTAATAATCAAATAAGTATGTGAACATAACCAATAACCTACCAAAGCCAATAACAAATAAATGTAGCTTATTTTATTTTTGTTGTTCATGCATATCTTATTTTACCTAGTTAACATTTATTTATTTAATAACTTAGAGATGTTAACAGTGTGAGGTGCACAAAGGCCATGGTGGCCGTAGGACGTACAAACGAGCTTTTCTGTCCAGAAATGTTAATAAATGTGCGTTTACTTAATAAAGAAATAAATGGGGATGTAATCATTTCTCCCTGAGTGTCTGAGAAAAAGCTGCCTGTCCTCACCTTGATGACCCTGAAGCTGAGGTAGCGTCTGTTGAGCATGATGATCTTGTACTCGTTGGTCCCCTCGTCCAGGACGTGTCTGAGCGCCAGCAGCGAGGGCGAGTTGGAGAGGACGGCGCTCCTCCAGGCCGGGTCGCCCTCGTGAGCGATCACCAGGTTCTGCTGGTGAGACGAGATCGCCTCGAACAGAACCGCCGGCTCCTCGTACTCATCCGGGGACGTGAAGTGGTCCTGAAACACAAGACGAAAGATAAACAGAGTCAGAACACTTTATTTATCTAGAGGGGAAATTGGGTTTAGGACAAATACAAATATTTATATTAGGGCTGTCAAACGATTACATTTTT